TTGGTAATGGCAAATGAAATCATATTAACTCCCATCTATTTATTATCTATGTTAAACTAAGAATTTTTTTATTCCCGACCACGAGATTGTTTGTTGCGATCTCTATCCTTATACCAGTCAATTTTTAATCATGAAAATTATAAAGCATTTAATTAATTTATTTTTCTCTCCTCTTTCCATCTTCTTCCTTAACTCAACCATGGTGGTTAAGGGTGAATATCTTATTAGTAATTAACAATCCTCCTCCTAGAAAATTGGTAAGGATTATTTATAATGTGAAGTGAGAAGATGGAAAGAGGGGATAAGAAAAGGACCCCCACAATAGAAACAGAGTGTTTCTTTGTTTGGGTATTAAATCAGCACACACTTCTCTATCACACATCTATTTTTTTTAATATATACATATTCCAACTTTGCATTATACAAATATTTATATTTATAGGGCTGCCGGCCTGCCTGCCTTCTTTGACTTTTTCTCTTCGTTCCCACCTTATCCCCTCAATTCCGTTTGTTAGGGAATGATCGTGGGTTTATAATCAAATAATACTATCTTCATTGGTGGTATGAGACCTTTTGGAGAAGCCCAAAGTAAAACAACGAGAGTTTATGCTCAAAGTGGACATTATCATACCATTGTGGAGAGTCGTGTTCATCTAACATCCACCAACCAACTTGAAAATTGGTTGGGTTATGGAATCCATTTATATTGGTCCAAAAGATTTTTTTCAACCCAAGTCAACTCAGGAACCTAATACGGTCGGGAGACCCGGCTGACACAAAACAAAAAATTGGGCCCAATACATCTACAAGGCCCAATACATCTACAAGGCCCAATACATCTATAAGGCCCAACTTGGGCATTGGTCAGTCATGTCCACGGACGTATTCATTGAATTCATCGCTCAATATTATTCAAACTTTTCATGGAATTTTCAATATTAATAATTTATTTTTTGAAATTCAAGTATTTCACTCTCAAATAAATGAATTTAATTTAAATTTTTATTATTGATACTAAGTTACATTACTAATTTTTTTAATTGATAATTTATTATTATTATTTTTTTTTTTTTTGATGATACAATGAATATGTCCATTCAATGTAAAGGAAATTTAAAACGTTTATTAGCCCTCAAAAAGAAAAAAGAAAAAAGAAAAAAATAAATGGTGGGGGGTTTGTTTTGTTTCATAAAAAGAAGAGAAATCCAGCTGGCAGGGCCCATGGTTTCTGCACACAGTTTCCTGGCCCACGTCCACGTGTCAGTCTCCGGCTCCGCCCACTCTGCTTTAACGCCCTTGTTATTCTTTTACAAATTTTTCTTGTTTTATTTCTATAAAAACTTTATTCTTATTTTCATAAATCAAATTAATACTTTTAATATCGTTAAAAAATGTTACGACCAAAACATAAGTAATTTATGTCAAAATAAATTAATATATTTACTCTTTTAAAATAAAATTTTGAATATTTTTTATTTTTATTCTCTAAATATCGGTTACAACAAAAAAGAAAGAATAAAAGGAACGAGTATTGTATGACTTAAAAGTTTAACAATGTTGTAATTTAGTGGTCGAGTATAAATTAACGTATTGTTTTGGTTTATTTGTTGTGGCTCTATAGAGGTTATAGCCTTTCATTTTGATTCATGAAAGAATTGGCAAACCCAACAAAAAGATTTGATTCTGATTTCTAGAGTCAGTGCTTCTGTTGCGTGTGCGTAGGGTCGTCCCCCTTTCCTATCTCGGGGCGCTAAGGGGCTTTTGTTTTTTTAATAGACGTCAGTGTTTTGCTGACCTTTTGTTGCGACATGTTATGTTTTCTCGCCCATTACTAGTAGGTTGATGGGTTGCACATTTGGTGTCACAATCATACTATGAAGAGAGTAGGTTGTCACCCCGTGTCGAGACAAAGCATAAGTTGTCACCCTCATGTTGAGACGAAGCAAAGTAGTGACCCTTAAGAGGCGCTCATTCGATCGCGCGAGGCCAAATATAGAAGAATATCATGATGCGACTGAGGAGGACGGTGCATCATCGAACACACCATATAACGTGTGCATTGAAGAGGAAACAAGGCATAAACAAGATAGGGACAACGAATAGACATGAGTGTCACATACAAGGTTGTTGAAGGGCCAAATAGGGCCCCGAGCTTTAACCTCGAAAGTTGGGGTTCCAAAGGGAATTTGGAAATACGATTCTGGAGTAAAGCCCGTCTGTGTAAAATATGAAGGCTCGTAAAATTTGGGGTCAATCAGACACCAGATGGACGCTCCACGAAACCATATGTTCGTTCACCAAAAACATGTTTACACCGGCCAGTTTGAAAATGCCTAAAAAGGAACGTTAGGGGGAGACATGTTGTCAACTCTCTACCGCCCTTGGGCCATGTGGCCTAAGTGAGACATGTTTCGAGACGAGTCTCAGTTGACTTCCTTTGACATGAGTTTTTCAAGGATAGTAACGGGTGGCATGGGTGTGCCAAGATTGTGCCCTTACCCATGTGGTAGGCGTTGGATTTTGCACCCTCTATCTGATTCTTTTTTCTTGGTAAATAGGCTTTAAACAAATAGAATTTACATGAGAGTAAAATAGATACGATATCCATAAATGACATGGCATGAACACGGGAGGGCCAATGCCTTGATAGAACCTGGATAGATGAATGTTTGAGATGCCCCAATGTTATGAACGACACGTGGACCCACCTCAATGGTATGGCCGAGTGAGTTGCGACGACTGACGATACCCCTTGACTTGGGATGACGTCAAAACATATGGATCATGTTAATTGGGAGTCAAGATGAGACGATGGGCGTTGCATTGAGAAACCTTAGCCCTAAGTAGAGGCAAGGTCATGTCGAATGACTTGGCCTAGTATAGAGGCAAGTCAGTTGTGTCACAAACGATTGAACATTCACGTGTAGAGGACATGTATGGTCAAATAATCTTGGATTATGCACAAGTGATGTACAATTGACAAAGACAACCTTTACCTAAAGTCCGACGCAACAAAATGGGGCGAAAAATGAATGCAGGACTTGGGTTTCCCACATGACTTGTCATGAGCATGTCAAGATCACGACACTGCATAGATGAAAAAGTACGACCGTGATGCTCGAAACACATATTTTGGTCTTGTGTGTCCATAACTCAAAATAGGTGACCTAACGACCACTACCCGACTATAGATACCAAACTTGGTTTTAATCATTCATGTTTAGAGATGTCTATAGAACCGAGTAAAAACATGGAACATTCCCATTTCTATCCCGTCATCTGCTTCAATCTTCGTAAGAACTCAAACCCACCGCTAGCAGATATTATCATTTTTTGACTTTTCCTTTTGGACTTCTTTTCAAAGTTTTTAAAACGTGTATGCTATAAAAAAGTCTTCACACCTCTATAAAAAAAATGTTCTATTCCTCCCTCCAACCGACGTGGAATCTCACAATCCACCCCCTTCGAGACCAGCATCCTCGTTGACACCTGTTCCTCTCTCCAATTGATGTGGAACCTCACAATCCACCTCTTCGAGCCCCAACATCTTCAACTTCATTTAATTAAGATAAAAAAAATTCTCGTTACCTCATTCATAATACATCTCTACAGATTAAATTAACATCTCGCTACATTCTCTACCGCTCCAAAGCAACAACAATATTTTGTTGTATATTTTGGCATTTGGCATATTAATTAAAATAAACATACCAACCATAGTCTAAAATATAAAAAAAAAAAAAAAAGTCAGCACAAATACAAAGAATAAGAATGTTGAAAACTTACATGATTTCTTTGCATGATATTATAATAATAATAATAATAATAATAATAATAATATTCAGGTAGGTTTGTGTAACTACCCAATCATTATGTGCAATATAAAATGTGACCCCTAACTCTGAATTATATTTTTTAAAAACATTATTGTAAATTAAAGGGCCAACTTTATAATTCCACCCCAATTTTTGTCCTCTCTAAATTATATAATTTTGCATGCCTTCTTTATTATTTCTTTCCATATATTCAATTAATTACTTTCTCTTTTTTTTTCCCTAACAAATAAATATTGAATTTTCTTTATACTTTTTATAAAATAAAATAAAATAAAATAAAAAAAAGAATTTGATTTGGCTTCATATAAATAATTAATAATTAAAGTCTTGGTCAAAGTTATGATAGAAATGTATCATACGCCTAATTATTTATTTATTTATTTATTTATTTTTGCAAATTGGGATTCTTCCACTATGATGGGCCCTGCCTCAATTATTAAAAACAAAATTATCTTTATAAATATTATTATTATTATTATTATTTTACAATGTTATAGAAAGTTAAAAGTTGAAAAAGTCGGATGAAATCGTGTGGTAAATATTCCTTAAAAGGATAGAAAACATCATAGAATTGGATAAATTAATGAAAATCAATTCAATAAAACAGTAATAAACCCAAAAAAAAAAAATCGTCAGCAGGATATGTTTGTCCAGTATTACTTATGGCCGCATAACAAACGTCTCAATCTTGTTTATTTAGGACATGTTGTATGTTGCAATGTCCTTTCCAAACCCTTCTACTTATTTAGCAATATTAGAGCTTTATAATTAAAATTTGTGATCGAATAAATATGATTTTTAAAAATAATTAAAAAAAAATTAACCCTTTAACAAAATCAAAATTTTGATTATGAACTCTGTTTAAACGGTTCGGTTTTGTTAGACGAACACGACTCTCCACAATGGTATGATACTGTCCACTTTGAGCATAAGCTCTCCTAGTTTTGCTTTGTGCTCGGTAAGAGGCCTCGTACCAATAAAGAGGGTATTCTTTAATTATAACTCAAGATCTATCTCGAGAAGAGGCCTCGTACCAATAAAAAGAGTATTCTTTAATTATAACTCAAGATCATTCTCGATTCTCGAGATAGAATTAGAGATTGAGACACAAATTTAGAGACAACATAATTGAGTATAACTTGATAAATAAAACATGGGAAGAACAAAACCAACCAACAAAATGTAGAGACAAAATGTTTGAAGAAACAAAAACACAGAATACACAGTGTTTGGATGAGGAGAAAATTTTAGAATTGAACTGACAAACTTTCCGGGAAAATAATACAACAAATGAAACAGAGATGGGAAGAAGGTAGCAAAACCCAGGTTCAGAAAACCCCCTGTTTTCTTCAAGACGCAGGGCAAAATTAATCAAATGGGTTAATTTAGTCTATATAAATTTTTCTATTTCGGAACAACAGCAACAGCAACCACGAATAAGAATCACGATATACATGTACCACAATTCTAAGTGTAGAATTGGACAAGTTCATCGGCGGACCCCAATTGGGTGTCTGCATTTTCCAGCATCCACAGCAAGTGCTCGAACAGGACAACCTCGCACGACACAACAACACCCTCTTCATCGGAATTGGGGGAAGATTTGTCCACCACCTCCTGGAAGAGTGGGTGCTGGACAACGTCCGAGGAGAGGAGGTAGCGGCGACGGGACCTGCCCACGAAGACTGGGTGGAGATTGTGGTCTTCGTCGAGGGCGGCGGAGGAGACGGCAGAGGAGGTGGTGGTGCGGGAGAGTTTTGAGATGGATGGCCAGCGTTTGATGGCGGATTTGAGCTTGGTGAGCTTGCCGAGCTTGGCCATGGCGGTGGGATAGAGGAAATTGAGGGAAGAATTCGATGGATGGGTGTGTTTTTTTTGGGGGTTGAGATGAGACGGACGGAATTATAAAAAGGAAGAGGGACACGGAAGGAGACAAAACAGGAGGTGGGTCCATGGATTCAAGAACACAGCTCAGCATCAAATAATTATTAATAATATTTAACACCTAAATTTTTATTTTTAATTCCGTCTACTTTAAACCTAAGCTCTCGTGTCTTTACTATAGAGAATATTCTTTGTTTATAAACCCATGCTCATTTCCTAAACGAGCGCCCGACTTTTATTATTCAAAAAGTTATTTTTATTTTTATTATTATTATTTTTAATTTTTCTATAATATTTAGTTTGTTAGCAAGTAGTGTCATACTTTTAGAATTATATTTAAAATAATAGTCAAATATTATTAATATTTTTGAAATTCCGTTGAGTTTTGCGAAAATAATTTTAAAATAAGAAAAAGTAAACAAATAACTAGAGTTTAAAAAACAAAAATTAATTAATTAGTTTATTATCAAGGATTATTAAGGCTCTAATGGACGGTTTTATCCTCATTAATACAAGAAACATTGACTATGTATTATAGAAAGCATATTAATGTGCCAACTCTTTTATAACCTTATCCTCTCTGTGTTTGGACAAACTTTTATGTGGTCGACATTAATAATTGATTAGTGCTAATTCAAATTCATTACGACACTAAATTCGTTTTTTCTCCACTATTAATTGAAACCAAAAAGTTCTGATTAAGCAGGAGCTAGACCAATTTTAATTTCGTATTATTTGATAAAAAAGTGAAATGTAAAATTAAATATTGAAACTTGTTTGAGAAAGAACGAGTGTTGATTGATAATAATATGGAATGATTGAAGATTAGGTAAGAAGTGAGTTATTAAGACAAGACAATGAATGATGTTGTTGGTTTTAATTCTTTTATATATATATATATATATATATATATATAACATAATAACCATATGTAATTAATTAGATTACCAATTAAGGTTGTATATTATAATGTTTGAGCAAGATCCAACCAATGTTTGGAATTAATAATTGATATAACCTATGGTCCACTTGTGAAGCCAAAAGTGTGAAGTATAAGGCATAGAGGAAAGCAAAATAAAATTAGATGTGGGTTGGGACTTAGGAGGGAATAATAATTAGCAACATCAAGATTTAATTATTGTATAAATTCATTTCATGTTTTTATTTATTTATTTATTTTTGGTTGTGAAATCTTGTTGAAGAAAAATAAATAATGGGTTTTTTTTTTTAATAATAATTATTATTCTTAATTATCCCAATTTAAAAAAGAGAGATGTTAGGTTGTTAAGGTACCAACTAGCCAACTTCCAACTCCCTTTTCCATTCATCTCCTCAATCAATTTTACATTTTCATTTTTTTTAATTTTTTTTAATTTTTAATACGTAAAATATTTATTTATTTATTTATTTTATTATGAAAAATGAAATGACGGGATTCAAATAAGTTAATAGACATTTTGAGTAAAACGAAAAAATAAGGAGAAATAGTTTGATTTACGAATTGAATTACTGTATTGGACATGATCATTTACTTGGTGGTCCAGAGAGAGAGAAGAAGGAGAAGAAGAAGAAGAAGTTAATTTGCACCGAATCTAAAACCAGCCTATTAGCAGTGGTCCAAGTGATCGGTTTCTTTCGAGCTAACCAAAATGTTAGAAAAACACGTAGCTTACCATATTCCAGACCTAAATGATGTCTCCTGAATACCTACGACATGTCGGATATACATCAAATCCGTCTGTTTCAAAACGACGCAACATTTTGACGGGTTATTTAATAAGCGTAAAATTACCGAAAAGAGACGGGAAATAAGGTGACGGGTTAGAAATGTGGGGGGACAATAATGGAAAGATTTGAGATCCCCCACTAAGATTTGTGTTGGGTCAAAGAAGCAGGCATGTGCTACACCCTCTCTCTTTAACATGTGCCTAAATAGAGATCAACAACAAACCTCCATGTTTTTTAGCCTTAATTATAACAACACATCCAAATCAATGTAGATTATGGTGGGATTTCATTCATGTGCTTCCTTCACAACATTTTCCAATAATTTTTTTTTTTTAATTTTATAATATTATTATGACAGTGACAGTTATGGGCCTGAAATGGGCCCCCATACCTCCTCGTACGGCCCAGCTACACGGTCTATAAAAATAAAGGAGTCTAACCCGGTTGGGCTTCACTTAAATGTTGTTGGACCCATAACTTTATGGGAAATTGAAGTAATAGACTACTTTTAAAAATTATATACCCGTTTTACCCCTGGCTGACTATCTCACCCACCTTATTGAGGTTGCCCCTGGGAGTCTATTTGCGTCCCTTCCCACTTTTTCGGTAATTTTATTTTTGGTTGTTGGATCTATTTCATTTCTTAATTTCAATTAATTCATTCCAAAAATCCTATTTTTTAGACCATCATAACAACATTTAATTATTATTATTATTATTATTATTATTATTATTTTGTTAGTTTGGGTTGGTGACGCCCGCCTATAGAACACAATTCACAACTCAATCTTCTATTTTTTGGGTTGTCTAATTATTGTTATTTTTTTATTATTAAAAATATTAGGAATCACGACTCTTCACAATGGTATGATATTGTTCACTTTGAGTATAAAGTCTCATGGTTTTGCTTTGGGCTTCCCCAAAAGACCTCCTCAACAATCCTCCTCTCGAACAAAGTACATCCTTTTAATTTGTTCGACACTTTTGTCACTTTTAACTACACATTCGAAGATTTTATCGACATGGCTAAGTTTAAGACATGACTCTGATACCATATTAGGAATCAGAGCTCTCATGGCTTTGCTTTAAGCTTCCCAAATGGCTCCATACCAATGAAGATAGTATTCCCCACTTATAAACTCATGATCTTCCACTAAATTAACCAACGTGAGACTCACTCCGAATAATCCTAAAAAAAAAAATTCTTATTTACCACCATGCATGTTACATTAATAACTAAAGTTTCATCAAATTAAAACTAGGATAAGATTAGACTGTAATGTTATTTTTGAGCTGGTTAGATCAATGTCAACTCATAAATCAAATCAAATTTTTTTATTTTAATTATATAATTGAGCTCCTTTTGGTTAAATTAATAAAAAAAAAAATCCAAAACTTTCTATTTTATTTAAAAAAATATTTCTAAATTTTTAAAAGTTATAATAATATTTAAAACTTAAAAAAAAAATATATGGGATGAAATTGTTGAAAAATATCCTTAAACCTAAGTATTTTTAATAATATTTTTAATTAGTGTTTGACCCAAGTAAGTGTTATATCATAATGAACCACGTCGACAGGTCGGATGGTGGACACGTGTCAGCAAGAATAAGAGTTGTGAGACACGAGGATTGTTCCAGACGCTTCCCCTGCATTCTAAAGCAGCCTCTGGAATTTTCCTTCCTCTTCTTTTTAATTCGCCCCCAACTTCCCCGCCAATCGCATTCCCGTTTCTCCGCCGTAACAATCTCTCACAATGAGCAGGGCCGCCGATTCGAACTCATCCAACGGACATTTGGTGCAGGCTATAAGCACCCTCTTCCCTTCCCCTGAAGCCCTCGAGAAATTAGCCTTCATTTCCAACGATGCTCGGGAGCCTAAGGGCATGTCCAGCATCCCGACTGACATCCTTGACGCTCCGAAGGAATACGTGTTCTATATGGACCTGCCGGGGCTGTCGAAATCCGACATTCAGGTGACGGTGGAGGAGGAGAACACGCTGGTGATTCGGAGTGGAGGGAAGAGGAAGAGGGAGGATGGGGAGGAGGAAGGGTGCAAGTATTTGAGGCTTGAGCGGAAGGCGCCGCAGAAGATGGTGAGGAAGTTCAGGCTGCCGGAGAATGCCGATACTTCTGCCGTTTCTGCTAAGTGCGAGAGTGGGGTGCTGGTGGTGGTTGTGGGGAAGCTGCCTCCGCCTCCCAAGCCCAAAACGGTGCAGGTCGCCGTCGCCTGAAAGTCGAAGGTGGTGGTTGTACGCCATTTGTTTTTTTTATGGTGGCTGTTTTGTGTAAAGAGAATTTGTAGCTAGGTGGATATGGTGGATATGGTGTTGTGGTTGTGTTCCTTATTCATGCTCTGTTTTTTCCATGAAACTTGGAAGAGTTAAGAAATGAGTAGTTTCAGTGATTGGGTGTTTCTTTTCTCAAGTGTAGCCAGTAGATGATGATGGTCTTAGTAAAAGTCAACTAAACAATTTGCAACCTTTGAACAATTAGATGTATGAACATTATGAGTTGAGTTGTCCTCAATGAGGTCTACTTAGCCCTTGCTCCAGAGGCATATGATATTTTCTCTTTTGTTCTTTCTTCTATAGTTTGAGCTCGAAGAAGAAGATATGAGAAGGTCTTATAGGATGTAGGGGTCGATCTTTCTTTTCTTAGGATGCTTCTTATGCGAACAATTATGCCTTTCCCGGAGATAAAGAAACTCGGAAATTTTTACTTTTGTGAGCTTTTATGTGTTTGATGATAACCTACCTCTGCTAATAATTCTCCTGAGACCTTTTGGGGAAGCACAAAACAAAGTAATAAGAGCTTATGCTTAAAGTGGACAATATCATATTATTGTGGAGAGTCATGCCCTAAACTTAATCGTGTCAATAAATTGATAAATCTTCAAATGTCGAACGACAGACTTTAAGCCTCCTCGAAGACAATAAAAAATGACTAAGATTCGAAAAGAGTCGAGCCTTGATTAAGGGGAGGGGTTGGATGATGAAAGTCCCACGTCGGCTAATTTAGAGAATGATCACGAGTTTATAAACAAAGAATACTCTCTCAATTAGCAAATCCTCTTGGATTTGGGGGAGCCCAAAGCAAAGTAATGAGAGCTTATGCTCAAAGTGGATAATATCATAAGTCCCATGTCGGCTAATTTAGAGAATGATCATGAGTTTATAAACAAAAAATACTCTCTCCCTTGGCAAACACTTTTGGGTTCGGGAGAGCCTAAAACAAAGTCATGAGAGCTTATGCTCAAAATGGATGATATCATAAGTCCCATGGTCCCATGTCGGCTAATTTAGAGAATGATCATAGGTTTATAAACAAAGAATTCTCTCTCCTTTGGCAAACCCTTTTGGATTTGGCTCCTAAAACAAAGTCATGAGAGCTTATGCTCAAAGTGGATAATATCATATTAGGGGAGTCGTGATGGTCTAACAATATAGAATAAAACAAATATATAAGAATCTTAAACAACCCTAAACACACCATATTCATGCCACCACAAGACAATCTTAAAAAGGACAAATGTATTTTGTTATTATTTTTTTAATAGAAAAGTTGGGCTGATATTGAAACTAAGCCCAGGCCCATTTCATTATGGATGGCAGTTTTGAAATTATTTTGTAATTCTCTGTTTTGGGCCAAGGAAAACAAGGTAGAAAACCCTAGCTAGTATTCTTGCTTTCTTCTATCTTTCTTACCCTCCCGACCCTTCTGTTGCTCCTTCTTTCTCGGTTCATCACAACGATCCGGACATGGCGACTGCAACACCACCACGTCAACTCTCCCAGAAGGAGGCCGATATCCAGATGATGTTGGCTGCCGAGGTTCATCTAGGCACTAAGAATTGCAACTTCCAAATGGAGCGTTACGTTTTCAAGCGTCGGAACGATGGTATGCTATCACTACTCTTCAATTTTAGACCCTCACATTTGTTGCTCCTTCATTCTCGGTTTCAATACTCTCGGAATCAGACATTGAATGATAATGAACGCGCGTAGTTGCTTCCTTGTCTTTGCCCAATGGCCGTAACTTTTGTGGTTGAAGATTTGAAACATTTTCCAGTCTGTTATATTCAGTAATGTTGAGTTATTCAAAGAGGACTGATATCTACAATTTGAGTATGGATGATATTTATTCCGAATTCTCATTTCTGTAGGAATCTACATTATTAACCTTGGTAAGACATGGGAGAAACTTCAGCTGGCTGCCAGAGTCATTGTGGGTATTGAGAATCCACAAGATATCATTGTTCAGTCTGCAAGACCTTATGGTCAGAGGGCTGTCTTAAAGTTCGCTCAATACACTGGTGCTCATGCAATAGCCGGGAGGCACACCCCTGGAACCTTCACCAACCAGCTTCAGACCTCATTCAATGAGCCGCGTCTTCTCATTCTTACTGATCCTAGAACTGATCATCAGGTGATTGAGTCTTTTAAAAGTCCCATAACAGTTTTCTATTATTAGCTGAAATTGAAATGATGATCTTCTCTTTCGCAATTCTAGATTCACTTCTGTTTGCTCCTTTAGTGACTTGTTGCTGCTATTTGTGTTTCCTGGTTGATTTCTTGCTTGCAGCCCATCAAGGAAGGTGCCCTTGGAAACATTCCTACAATTGCCTTTTGTGACACTGATTCACCAATGCGTTATGTTGATATTGGAATTCCAGCAAATAACAAGGGGAAACATAGCATAGGATGTCTATTCTGGCTTTTGGCCAGGATGGTCCTGCAGATGCGTGGAACAATCCGTGCCGGGCTTAAATGGGATGTGATGGTAATCTCAGAGTTACCTTTTCTATCATATAAACCTTGCTCTGCACTTGGTTGTTGGAAGTTGAATTAAAGCCTGGGCTTGAATTAATGCACATGTTTTTTATGCAGGTGGATTTGTTTTTCTACCGTGAGCCCGAGGAGGCCAAGGAGAAAGAGGAAGAAGAGGCTATTGCTGCGCCCCTAGATTATGGCATTGCAGATTTTGGTGCTGCTCCGCTCGTTACCTCAGATCAATGGGCTGGACAAATTTCTGATGCTCAATGGGGTGCCCCTGATGTGGTTCCCCCACCAGATGCTGCTTTAGTTCCTCCACCGGTTTCAAATGTCGAGTGGTCCCAAGAGCCAGGTTAAATCCAAGATTCCTTTTATGACTTATTTGAACGTTTGCGCTTATTCATGTGTTTAGCTTAAGATGAATTACTTTGGTTTATGTTGATAATTAGCACCGTCCAGTTCCAGTTACCACGTAGTTTGTCATTCCATAACTCTTTTTTTCGATCTTAGACATCATTAGTCAGGAGTTATAACCTAAGATGCAACGCAACTAAGAATTAGGTTGGTTTGTCTGTTTGAGACGAACAGATAAAAGGACGTTGTTTTATATTAGGATTCTTTTTTTATGCTTTCTTTTCTGTGTTTTGCCTTTTGTAGTTGCTTCATCAGACGGATGGCAAGCTGCAGTACCACCACCAGCACCTTCAGCTGAAGTTGGCGCCCCTCCAGCTGCCAGTTGGTTTTGAGGGATGGTTGCAAACGAGAATTGATTAAATCGTTGTATGAGTTTGCTTGTTTATGTAGGAGTATCACCTTTCTTGGGCTGCAAACTTGTGAGTTTTAGAATTTGAGATTGAAATTTTGACTTCAACTTTGGTATCTTGGTTAAATTTTTAGGAATATTTGAGAAATTACTTGCGTAAACTATAGTAGGCATCCATATAAATGAGATTTTGAATCATGGGTAATATATTTTTTCTCGTAAAGTTTTATTTTCTTGCTTGATAATATAAATACTCACTAGAGTCCATTTAATCTAGAATTACGAGTGAAACAAGGATTTGACATTGATGGGCCTGGAAGTATTCAAATCTCCATTCCATATCATCTCTGCAAGTGTTTGATACCCTTTGTCACTCCCATGGTTTGAATCAAAGAACAAATGCTCTTTAGGATTCTCACATAACTGATATTCTTTTACAGTATCCTGCCCTCCGCAGCTTTGTATTCCTCTTAATTTCCCACTGCCACAGCATGCAACCTTCACATCTTTGAAGCCTGTTTCAAGTAAACCAAACAATCAGAAAGAAACCCACATTAAGTTCTTCGATAAGGTTCTTTTATTTCACGTACCATATTTTGCAGGGTTGCTTGCTATTTCTTCGACCACTTTATAGGAATCAGCATGGGAATATTTGAATCCTTTGAGTTTTGTAGTGAGCCTTTGGAGTTCTTTGTAAAGTTGCCCGTTGTGCAAGTCTACAAGGTGATTAAGTTGTCCCAATCGGGCATCTCTGCCTTGTGATGCCACTGCTTCTTCTTGCACAAGAGGTATATGGTTAGGAGACCAAAGATTCATCACAACAAATTTTCTTCCCCCTTTCTTGTAGATTTCCTGTTCAATGTTGAACCAACTGAGTATTGGAAGGAACAAAAGGGAACCTAAACCTCAACATAAAGGGTATCCATTGACTTACTTTTATGACAGAGGTCAAGTTCCCAATCACCATGTCAACATATTTTTCCAATGAGTAGGAACTGAAAAGCTTCGAGTCCGAGGTGTAGACAGCATAATCGTTGGTCCCAATCCAGATTAAGTAGACACCCTTTGATAGAATTGTGTTTACTCCTGTCTTTCCAAGCTGCTTTCTCAGAATCCTTTCCACTTTCTTGAAGTTCCTTACCTGAGTTTTGAGGCTTATTACCTGAAGGTTCATTCGTACGTGTTAGAATATATAATCCTTTAGGTGATGATATAACATTTTACTACTACGTTCAGGTTGACAGAAAAACTCTTACTAGTCCTTGATTAGTTTCACAGAGAGCTCCTGCGCCTCCTGATGCAAAATTTGTGCCATAAACGTAACGCTTATTGCCGGGATGAAGATAGGGAAGAAGCCATGGCAAATCTGCATATTCAGCTGCAACGTAAAAGAAAAGAACAGCCTTTACATGCATGGTTCAATGTGTATGCATATTGAAAAATGAGATGAAATGATTGGAAGGTACCGAAGAAATCGGGAAGTACTCGGCCATCGGACCATCTTCCAGAGGGATATTTGAAGAAAGTTTGGCCGTATGGAGGGTAATTTGCCTGGGCAATTCGCCTGGTATTGATGTAGTTGTTGTTTCCAGTATCAGCTAAGGAATCTCCAAAAGTGAAGAGAGGCACATGATGAATGTGCAGCTGCTCATCCTGCATGCAAACGCACCCAACAGCGAAGAAGATGAATAGAACACACAGACGCAGGTTGGTTGAACTCGCCATGTGATGTGGTGACCTGATAGCTCAATCTGCTACAATTAATGATTACTTATAATGCGAAGAACTCAAGTTTGAAACGCCATTTAGCTTACTTGAAAGCTACATGGGAAAGTCATTCTTGTTTGCCAAGGAAATGAAAAAGGAAGGGTCCACGAAGACCGTGA